AGGTTTTTTTTTTTACACAAACCCCCCCCCCCCCCCCCCAAAAAAAAAAAAAAAGAAGAAGAAGCAAGAGTTAAATCAAAGTCCCATAAACTAAACTAGGGAAATGATTGGCAGCAAGGTGAGCCTTAATAAGAAAAACCTGAAACCTAAACCTAAATCCATTGAGCATAAAGTACAACATCATGAAGCTGAAGAAGTGTAATTTCACAGCTAAATCAACAAGCAAAACAGAAAAGCTCCAAGATTCAAGTCGAAGTATTAAATATCTATTCTCACTATAATAAATTTCGAATACATAATCTTGATCGGTTCCATACATTTTATAAGGTTACACAACCAGAATCTGAGTGTCACCTAGAAGAAGCAAAGAACGCCTCATCAAAACAATCAATCAACATAAGTCATAAAAAAAAATGTGTAAGTTAGAAAACCAGAAATAAATTTACCTCGTAGATAGATATCAAAATGAAACAAAAAAAAAAATATCACTCTGCCGCAGCTTTAGCACTCCGAAACCCTTTCTTCAATTCAGCGAATCTTCTCATGCAAGCCGCCTTGGATCTGCCGGGAACCGCCGCAGCCACCTTCTCCCACCGCATGGGAGCTTCCTTCGGAAACGCTTTCAACGCATTCAGCAACGCGATATCCTCCGCAGAACTCCACCCATTCTCAACAACCTTCTCCACCGAATCCTCGCCTCCATTCTCCTCCACAACCCTTTTATCCAACGCCTTCCTCTTCTTCAAAAACAGCGCATACGACTCCGAATCATCCACCTTCTTCTCCCCCAACTCCTTCGACTTCTTTATCACACTCTCCACGCCGTGCCTCCCCCCGAACGCCGCCGCTATCGCCTCCCACCGCCCCGGCTTCCCCACCGGATTCTTAACCATCTGCTTCTTCAGCACCTCCACGTCCTCCTCGCTCCACTCCTTCTCCTCCACTACCGTCGCCGCCGCGGCCGCCTTCTTCTCCACTCCTCTCTTCTCCGCCGCCACCATCACCGGGCCTACTGCGGGGGCTTCCTCCGGTCTCCGCTGCTTGGATCGCCGCTGCGGAGGCTTCTTGTCGTCGTCGGGCTCCGGCTCCGGATCGGGGAAGTTGACGACATCGCCGCGGCCGACGCGGACGTGGCCTCCGGTGATGGAGGGAGGCGCGAAGGGGCCAATTAAGAGAGAGAGCGCGAACCAGAAGAGGAGCGATTGGAAGGGCTCCGATTGGAGGAAGAAGAGAGAGAGAGTGAGCAAAATCGAGGAGAGAGAAAGTGTAGCGAAGAGGAACGGCTTCGTGGGTTTGTGGGTCGGGTCTGGTGGCTCGGTGGTCGCAGCTGCACCGGACTGAAACACGAACCTCGGCCTCGCGTCCTCGTCCAGGAACTCCATTACGCTCGCTCGCACCAACAATTGCAATTTGCAACGGGTGTTTTATTTTGGGGCCTGTAAACTCATTGGGTCAATGGGCCTGTATTTGTTAGGCCCATTAAGGGGTGCTATTTAGCACCCGGAAAAGTAGGGGAAAACGACAAGACAGTGCAGAGCCGGTGGAGTGTGACGGCGAGTGGAATGTGTCTGACGGGGACAGGAACAAACAATGATTGAGATTTTGTGAAGATATTTAGAGAGCAGAAATTAGATGGATGGATAAGTATAAATAGAGTGGTGGCGCCCGAGAAGCGATACGACGTGCCACATTCTCCACATTTCCGTATCTCTCTTGTTCACATAATTCTCCAATTTCAATTAGGGTTTTTCGTTTCGTTTCGTTTCCTCTAACTTTTTTTTTACCTATTCCTTCTCACAAACTTAGTTCCCAAGGGCCTGCTCTTCGGGTATAAGGAGAAATTGAGCTACATTGCTTTTCTCTTCTTTCAATTTTATGTAATTGTGACTATAACTTGATGCATTGTTGAAATTCATCATCCTATTCGTGATGTTTTCTAGTTTGCTTTTGGATTTGACATTCATGCTACTGTTTGTTCATTATTATGAATTTTGAATTTGATTCCGAAGGAAATTTCAAATTGGATGTTGATTTGGATTATAGTACGGTATAGATGAGTTTGGCGGGTACAGAAGGCTCGGAAGAGGGAGCAGAGCATCTGGAACCCCCCGATCCTGATGTCCTTGAAATTGATCCAACTTGTCGCTACATCAAGGTAATATCATTGTTTCTTCTCCGTGAATTACATACCAATGCAGTAAGCTAATTCTGCTTTTGCATTCATAGCAGTATAAAGAAGTGATCGGCAAAGGAGCCTTCAAAACTGTGTATGCATTGTTTATACTTTCTTAACATCTGTATTTCTTTATTATTTTGGACTCTCTGGAAGCGTTATATTTACAAGATAACTCTATTACTTTATTATGGACTGTTTTTGCTATGCTGAAATTAAAACACTTTGACTGTTGACCTTGTATATTTCTAGCTATATATGTTTTCCATGATTTGTGATAAATCAGTTACAAGGCATTTGATGAAGTCAATGGAATTGAAGTTGCGTGGAGCCAGGTTCAGATTGATGAGGTGTTGCAGTCACCGGGTGACTTAGATAGGCTATACTCAGAAGTGCATCTCTTGAGATCACTGAAGCACAATAACATAGTAAAATTCTACAATTCTTGGATTGATGACAAGCGCAAGACTGTTAATATAATTACAGAGTTGTTTACCTCGGGTAGCCTCAAACAGTATGTTCACCATCCCTTTTATGCATGCTATTAATTTCTTTGTGCCTTTTATTGTGAAACCAAACTTCTTGTTAGTGGATGCAATGGGTGATTTAGGTTTCGTAAAAAACACAAGAAGGTTGACTTGAAGGCTGTTAAAGGATGGACAAGACAGATTTTGATGGGTTTAAACTATCTTCACGGTCACAACCCGCCGATTATACACAGGGACCTGAAATGTGATAATATATTTATCAATGGTCATCAAGGAGAAGTTAAAATTGGAGATCTGGGGCTGGCAACTTTCTTGGAGCGAAGTAATGCCAAGAGTGTAATTGGTATGCTCTTTTGTGTCCCTGTACTTTATTTTTTCTATTGATCTGTGTTGATCCTTTGCATAGATAAAACGTTAACCAAAATTTTAATCATTTTTTTCATCTCATAGCTATAGGAATAGCAATAGACCTTCATTCCTTGATTCGCTGTTCTGATGTTGTTTGATTTCTGTACTTTACACATGTAATCCTGGTAGGAACCCCGGAGTTTATGGCACCTGAGCTCTATGATGAAAATTACAATGAATTAGCTGACATATATTCATTTGGTATGTGCATGCTTGAGTTGGTGACTTCCGAGTATCCTTACAGTGAATGCAGAAACTCAGCCCAGATTTACAAGAAAGTTTCATCTGTGAGTATTACATAATTGATAATTTTAATTTTTTGCAGGTTATTATTGAGATTATTTGGTCATACAAATAATACAATATTTGACTTTGCAGAGTATAAAACCTGTTGCTCTTTCTAAAGTGGTAGATCCAGAAATTAAATCATTCATTGAGAAATGTCTTGTCCCAGCCCCTCAAAGATTGTCAGCCAAGGAGCTTCTGATAGACCCCTTTCTTCAAATGAATGGTTCACCAAAGGATGGTCGTTTTCCATTGCCGGATATTGTTCTTCCCAAATTGGGAGCCTTTGAAAGCCGTTGTATGGTGTCAGAAGGTCCTGCTAGTGCACGCAGTGGAGACATTTCTATGGATCTTGGTGACACCAATGAGCTTCCTGTGATCACTGTATTTGACAAATATACTGATGATGCATCATCATGTTTTACATGTGTTGAGATAAAGAGACAGAAGAGAGGTGATATATTCTTTCTAAAAGGTGAAGAAAATGATGAGAATTCTGTATCATTAGTTCTGCGGATAGCTGATCACAGTGGTCAGTATAACTTATAGCTCAATCTACTTTAGTAACCGTGTTTTAAATTTATTGATGGAAAGTCATATGCTTTGGCATTTATATGCAGGACGGGCACGAAATATCCATTTCATATTTTACCTTGACAGTGATACTGCTGTGTCGGTTTCAAGTGAAATGGTTGAGCAACTTGAACTTACTGATCATAATGTTAAATTCATAGCTGAGTTAATTGATTTGTTATTGATGAATTTGGTTTCTGATTGGAAACCTTGTGTAGCAATTGATCATTTGATTTCTCCAAATAATAAACGGACTCATCTGAGCCAACAGAGAAAGTTGGGGCTTGCAAATTGCAAGGGAAGCTCAAAACATTCAATTGAAATTGTGGCTGAAGATTTAAGTTGCTTGACCCCGGCCGCAAGATTAGCAGCAAAAGAAAACCTTGATAATATGGATATTGATGAAGCTTTAGCTCATGAATGCAGTGATGTTAAAATAGCTACCAAGGCAGATGATGTGTGCTCTGAGATGTCATATGCTTCTGCAACTACTGACTTCAATGATAATAAGATGTCTATGGTTTCATTCATGTCGGCTGAATCAGCATTTGATAGAGGGAGTCAATCCTCACTTGCATCTGAAAATGGGTCATCGCCTGATTGTAAGAGCAAGTTTTCAGACATAGAAAACTTTCCTAGTCATTCTGACATTGATTCCTCCTTGTGTGATCATGAGAGTGAGTTGAAAATAGAGTTAGAAATGATTGAACAGAAATATCAAGAGGCAATTAATGATTTATTCAAGAGAAGATACCAGGCCATCTTGGAGATTAGAAGGAGAATGTTAGAAAAGATGGTATCATAGAATAGTCTCGCTGGGTTTTTTTTTATAATTTTTTTATGAGGGGTGAGATGTTAGAGGTTTTACTAGTCTTTTTAATAGTTAGCCGTTGTGTCTCATCTTTTCTTCATACCAGTGGAGTCAAAGTGTAAATACTTGGGCGTGGATGAAAGTGTTCCCTTGTTATGGCAATTGGCAAGGTATTCTGTTTTCAAAGATATATTTAGTTCCCGTTCTATTACAATTAATTTTTAATAACATACTACACGTTTTAATATGAAATGTATAATTAACGTTAATTTGAACTCTTCCTGAATATATTTAATAATGGTTTTTTTTTGTTAAAACTGATTCCTAAAATCTAAGATAAATGGATAGTTTTCCAGCATCACCAATAACGTGGGCTGGACTACATCATTAAATTACCAAGTTGATATGCCAACCTCCCATGTGATTAATTATATTGATTTATACATATCAATTAGGTTCGTATATAAACTCGAACTATATATATTATTAAGTTAATATGTCAATTTTTATTAACATATCAATATGAATTTGACTACATATGTTATCAAGCTAATATGTTGATTTTTATTAATAATCAAAGAATAGGTGTAATCAAGTTAGTATATCAATTCTGTATTTATGTTTATATTAAAAGATAATAAAAACAAAATATAGTTTATTTAGAGATCAATCATAATGGTTATAATATTGATATAAACGAACAGTTATGATTAACAAGAGAAAAAAATGTATTTATAACAAAATGAGTAAAAATATTTGACACATTAGACTAACTTAATTGTCATAAGTACAAACGAGGATCTTACGATATAATCTCATCATCCAAGTTTATCTTGGTAAAAACAGATAATGAGTTACCCTCGATACTGTTTGTAATTTCTAAGTCAATATCTGGTATATTCTGATTGATTATGATCAATTCAATCATGTTAAGTTGGTATGAGCTTGATTTCATATGGATTAGTTTCATAGAAATAATAACTAGTTTGCTTCAGAATTCACAAGAAAAAATGGATTATTTTGTTGTTCATCACATGACTTAATTTAGACTGACTTATCACCATATAGTAGATATTTTTCTTTGATAACTCTCGGGACTTTGACCCTTAAAAGAACCACTCATTCCCCTTCATTAAATAATTGTTAACTTGTCAAATTAGGAAATCAAATCAATTTCACAAAAGTGGAGGAGTTACTTCTAGATGCTTCAATCTTAATGAGGTTGTCTACAATTTCATGAAACTGAAACACTTTAAATTCCCTCAAGCCCTTTTGTGCCTTTAACTGAAGATTAAAGGATATATAACTTTTCAGGTTGGTAATCAATGTGTTTTTATTAATCCTTGATCCTAAAATATTTTGAACTTAAACAACCGTTAAGTCATTAAATTGTTCTTTATGACTAACATTAACATAACTAAATTCATCATTAAATTGAGGCAAACAGGCTCCATTGTATTATCAAAAAATTGTTTTACCTTGTTAGTCATTTCCTCTTGGTTTTATGGATCTCACATTCTAATTTTGTAATTTTATTTGACTTTAAAATTAAAGTTTCATTTAAAAAATAATTTATTAATACAAGTTATTACAAAGTTAAATCTCAAATAAAATAATTCCCAATAGATTACAAAATTTATATATATATATATATATACATATATATATTACATTTAGGATTCTCGTAATATTAGAAGTCACATTTTGTGATATATCTTAAAATAATAAATTTGATTTTAAAATAAAGATTATTCTTCACTTATATATTATTTAGTTATTTTATTTTTAGTTGATGTGAAATTTAAATTTTTTTTAATAATATATATTATTTAATGTTTTTGAGAGCGGT